AAAAACCAATTGACATTGGAGATGTAGTATCCACTCTGAGGTAGAAGGAAGTTCCCAGCCCACTCACATGTGAGGACTTATGTTGGCTGGTCTAGCTCCAACCAAACCTAACTGCCCAGGAACGGACATACAGACAGCAGTAGGAAGGAGGATTCCTAGCTGGAGGGGCATACTGCAAAATACAAAAGATCCATTCCAGACCAGCAGCATCTGGAATGAAACAAGACACGTGGCAGGAGGATTGTCATGCCTCCTACATAGGCAGAACATTACCACCCTACTCTTGACTGAATGGAATTGTGCAAATCAGGAGGGTTCCTCCACAATCCACCAGCCCAGCAGCTGGAGCTGTGAAGTGGTAAGGACTCCCATACTCCACTGGAAAAAAAAAATGGGGTGGGTGGAGAAATGTGTTGGAGAGTCTGAAGGAATGCATCACCTGGGAAAATGCAATGGGTGAACACAAAACCCTACTTTGAAAAAAAAGACTGTTCCCTATTCCAGCAATCTAAGGAATGTTAGAGATGAGCAGCAATTTTCCTTGTGTTAGTCCAAGAATATACAGTCCAGTACAAGCATGTTTATGATGCAATATACCACAAGGAAGAACCTGCAAGCAGTCTTGTGGAACACACAATCTCAACAGTAAACATGATATACCTTATAGATCTTAAAATGCAGATTTTGGTTACCAGTATAACTGGACAGGCACCACTTGCCACAGAACAGGATCCATAATATGCTAAGTAGGCCCCTAAAAAAAAAGAAACATAAGTGTCTTACCCACTCAGAGGTGTACTGACGAATGAAGAATGGCTATAGGGAAAGACAATATCCAATTGAGCAGGAAACAACCAGATGGTACAAGAAGAGTGACAACAAGGTGTGGGGAGGGTTCCACATGCTGGTCTAGATAATCTCCTCCAAAGAATAATGGATATGAGCAGCAAAGAACATTGGGAGGTGAAAGTTCAGATGGAACAATTCACAGAACAATTGGCAAGATTCAGGAGAAAGGAAGGAATACACAATACAGCTAACCTGAGAAACCCAATTGATCAGGGTGATAGGAGAAATATCACTAGAAATAACAGCAAAAGCCATGGAAGGGTGGTATGAATGACATGTAACACAGTAAAGCACATACTGGACACAGAAGACAATCTGGAACAGAACAGGAGTAAATATGAAATACAGAAGGAAGGGAAATAAATGGAGAGGAAAACACACTGGAAAAATGAAGGAGAGATGACAGGGTCAACTTGTAACCCGCAATGGTTGAAAAGGACAGACCCTTGTCAAACAACCATATAAAACAGATATCTGAGAAAGGAGGGAAAGGGTAGAATCCATGCCATATAGTGTAATGATGGAATATCCTCCACTTATGTTGATACACAGACATGGATGTGAGAGACAAAAGGATGCTACACATGTGGATAGCCTCAAACCCCTCACAAGGAATCACACAAAAGCTATGAATACAACAAATGTGTGGGAACAGAAGGCTGAATCACCCAAGTTAGATTGCCAGAGGAAAGACCGGGAGAGTTAAGGGAGGTTGTTCCTGGAGAAGGAACAGGGATGGAAGCCATGGTTAAGCCAGCCAGAAAGGAGCCACCAGAAGTACCTGACAGAGAGTGGACTAAATGAGAGAAATTACTTGGGGTAGAAGACAGATGCTAGGGTATGCATAAAGGATACAGAGCTGGGAACCAAAAGAGAGGAAGCTTGGCATTCAAATGAGAGGAAAATGCACCCGGTTGGAAGTATCCATCTGAGGACATAGTCAGAATACCTGGGGGTCAAGAGACCACTCCATGGATAGAATCTTGTTGGGATGGGACAGATTATCTACAACAAGATTGAGGGCACCCAGTATGTAACAAGCCTGCAAACAAATTTGACAGCTGAGAGCTCAGAACAGGAGATAAGAGTGCAGTGAAATAAGTACTAGGATCGAGTAACCCCTTATTTGGTGACGTGACAACCATCAAGTTGACAGAATGAATCTTAAGTTGTTTCATGCCTGCAGAAAAGACAGAAAATGAACCATCACCCGACAATCAGCAAGGAGTACCAAAACATTTTTGTGAAGACCTAACTCCTCCCGAGACCAAAGACACGAGATCTTCTGTGTAATGCAGCATGTACCTCATTCTGACAATGAGACATCTGTAAAGACATGGTCATCTGATCAAACCACAAGAGGAAATTCGACTGAAGGGAAGCAGGAAAGGATATCTGTAAACCCAGAGGGTACTTGATGAGGTGGCAATGAACTTGTAGTACCCACTGTAAGGAATGCATGTGGACATGACTCAGATGGATAAGAGCCTCCAGTGAGCCTCAAGTCCACAAAAAAGACAGAACCTCTCATGTAGGGAGAGAAAGTGCTAATAGTGCCCTCTGAACTAAAAACTCCATGGATTGCAGAAAAAGAGGAGAAAGATGGGCTCAACTCAGATGAATAAGATATTTAGTGGGGTGGGTAACATACTTCTCCACCTTGATAAACAAACCCACCTGATCAGTTGTGTGTGTTAGGAAGACTGCGAAGCATGGAGCCAGAAGAAGCCAGTCATCCATAAAATGAGGGAAATTGAGTCTGCAAGAAGGAAATAATCAGGCAAACAATCAGACTGCCCAGCAAAAAACATAGGGTGCCAATGCCAGCCCAAAAGGAAGAGCTTGAAATTGATAAACCTTTGTGGACAAAATGTAGAAATGAAGTTAAGCCCAAGCAACAGAGATGTGAAAATAGGCATTCCACATGTCGAATTTTGAATTCCAAAGCTTTGGAAGAAAAACCCATCTCAGAGACAGTTATGTCCAAGAAGCAATTCAGATGGGAGAGATCAATCACAGAATGTCAGTCCCTGGTCTTCTTGGGGATGAGAAAAATAAGAAAATAAAACCCTGGAAGCACAGGAGAAACCAGTCCAATGATATTCTTGATGAGAAGGATTCCATGAGACACTGGTGGGAAATTGAATCTTAAGGGGGGAAAGAATTGGGGCAAGGGATAAGGCAGGAGGTGTGAGGAAAAGGAGGGAGAGTCCTTCTGACAAAAACTCAAATGACCCAAGAGTCAGTGGTAAAAGTCTCCCACACTTCTGAGAAACAAGAGACCCTGGTTCCCACATGACCCGAAGGGTAATCATCAGTAATGCTGACATTGTACAGGGTGTAGGTGAACAATAGCATGACATGTAGACATGGTCCAGAAAGAAATAACTGATAAAGGAGAAGATGGGAAATGGAAACTGGAGGAGGAGGGACAACAGGAAGTAAGGAAGTGTGCAAGCTAGTGGATTCAACAAAAGACTCCAAGGTGTCTGGAAACCCATCAAAGGCTGGTTGTAGATCCCAGAAAAGGGGCTGATTAAAGATCTCACCAGGAAGTTGGGGGGGGGGGAAGACTCACATGTCAACAAAGCATTCCAACCTAACAGATCCCAGCAACACAAGAGCCAAATGTGGATGGAAAAGGGCACACAAAGACAATCTCAACAAGTTGTTCAAGTAGGAGGGTACAAACATCTGCCAAAAAACTCTTTTCAGAATGACAAGAAGCTTCGGACTACAGGTGAAGGGATGGCAAACAACAAAGGAGTAAATCCAATTGTTGTCCATCAAAAAAGATCTGCTAAACAATGATATGCAGGTGCACAAGCCTCTGCAATATGTGTGGGGTGAAACATACTAGCTCCCACAAGTAATTGATCTGCAAAACATTTGGCTTGGACCCCATTATCAAGTGAAGGGAGGAAATCAAACTCAGAACTAGATGCTGCAGTTAATAAGGAAAGGGATAAAATAACAAAGACAAAACACAACATATCTGTGAAATCAAGTTAAAAATTGTTACTGGGGTCTAGGTGCTTGAATAGGCTGATAATGTGCCTGCAAAGCAGGGGACTGAGGAGGGAGGGAGGTGTCCAAATGCACATTGTCCTGATCAAAGTCCTCAGGTAATGGAAGAATAGCTTGTAGATTGGGAGATTCCTTGGCCTGCATGATAGAATCCATCTCCCAACAAACTACAGCTGACACTTCTGGTGATAACACAGCATCAGCAGCCATTGTCACAGACTGTTGAATGCTGGTGCCATTGTAGTCATAATGGTAAATTGTGAATTTAGAAATATTAATTAACTACCAGTACGTGAGAGAGAAATAGAATTCACAATCAAATAAAGAAATCCAACTCAATAGTGGACTATAAACAATACTTTGAAATGCAAAAATCAGCAACTGAATATTTTCAAAATGTGCTAAAGAAAAAAAAAATCTCTCAAATCAAGCACTAGATATTAATGCTGTCATGCCAAATCATGAAGTGCAGATTGGGTTCAACTGCATAGAGGGAGTCAGCTACAATAGAAGGGTGTATCACATTCCTATTGGTGGAGAGTTATTGCATGGTAACTTGCATGCTTAAACATAGGTAAACCACATGGTAAACTTGTGGAATTTGGAGGGAGTTCAAGGCTAGTGGCGAGGGGAAAGTTGCACATTAGAGAGCATTCAAACTGAGATAAGCTGTAACTGTAAGAGGAAGCTAGTAATTGTATCAGAAACTACAGCCACCTAATTTTGAAGTTAGATAATTCTGAAGTGGAGAAATCAGAGCTAAGACATGTTATATCACAAACAAAAATGATTGAGAATTTTGTACATTTTGAAATTAAGAAGTTAGCACTTAGACAATGCTTTTATACCAATTTGAATGATATGCATTGATAATAAAGTGTTTAATTAAATTTTGAATGTAATACAGTAAATGTCATGACATGCATACAAGAACCACTTATTTATGCACAAAGTTCATGAACACGATATGAACATAATTATAAACTTCTTTACAAGCTGTACAATAGTTACCATTAGATTTCCTGCATTGTACTTATATTGGTGTTATCATACTGGCAATTGTGTTACAACTACTGTAATAACGTGATTTACAAGACCAATAACAAGAAATTATGTTTACTTACCTTTGGTGAGCAGTAATAAGTGGTGCTTGCTACTGGTACTTGTGTCACAAACATTGTGACGCTACGCATAAAGTACAACAAACCCATGATCAGGAATACCCTTCTTAATATGATAAATCTGGATAAAAATAAAGAAATGACATCTTTCTTTGTTTCATTTATATTATATTGAGAAAATCAACACAATCCTGTACACTTACCAATTACAAGTTTAGTTAAATTTTTAATTGGATTCCACGCCTTCACTGCCACTGACAAATATGTCTCCTTCTAGAGCTGCCATTAGAGTTTCGAATTTTGAACCACCAAGAAGAAAGGGTGGTCCCTTCAAACTTTCTAAAGTTTACCAGTTTAAAGTTTGACTGTTTTAAGTAAGAAGTGAAATATGAAAACATGTCTTTTTGTTTTTATTATGTATCTAAAAGCAAACCTGGCACTCAGTGTATTGTTTATCTATAAACATGGCAGTGAAAGACTTAATTTTTTACTCATTCAAAAGCTAATCTATTCTGTATTTTGCATTTTGAGGAAATTGGATTATAAAGAATAAAAATAGGGTCTAAAAGATCTCATTTAAGACAACACAGCCCTTCATAAAACAATAGCTATGTCTCAACCAGTAATTTTTGTATTTTTCTGTATCAAATTGATGTTCAATGAATAAGCCATTTATCATAATGTTGTGAAAGTGTTTCTTTCACTTGTAAGAATTTCTGTGAAAACAAGTAAGAAAGCAAGAAGTTTGGAAGTTTAACCAATAAAAACTATAGAGTTAGAGCTTTGTAACTCGTACATCTGAAATTTATAACAGTAAATTCTGAAGAGCTGTAGATTTCATTTGAAGATACGTGTAAATATATTTTTAACTCTCCTACGGTGTTTCAAATCTATTTGAGTAGACATCGGTTTCCATAATGTTATGATCAATTTTAATATATCTCAGAGATTATACATATAATAAGTTTATATTAATTTCTAATATTTAACATAAAATATTAAAAGCTATCTAAAAATGTATTTTAATTCAAGGCTGTTTTAATTTGTCTGGAATTGCAATAGGTCAATACGTGACAGATATTATCAAAATGAAGTAATTTGTGGTATCAAATATAAATGATGCTATTACCTCCAACAGTTCTTAGTTTCCTAAATCAGGACTTCTTAGTTAACACTGTTCTGTCAATGTGTAAAATATTTTGAAGGGCAAAGCTACTTTATTTTGAATATAAAATTGATCTTTAGTTTTCTATGGTATTAAAATGTACTTTTATTTATAAAAATAGGTTTTGTTTTTAATTGGATTAATAAGCCAAAAGGATAATACACAATTTCAAGGAAATGTACATTAATTAGTAGATATTACGAAACATCAGGATAAATATCTTTATATATAAAACCATTTTCTTTTTTTTTCTTTTAATAGATCTCAAGGGTTTTTTTTTTCTATTATTATTTAACTATGTATATACATATCGTGGTCACAAGTAAATAGACACCACCTTTTCATAAAAATGAAATTTTTCAGTCATATTCACATGAATAGATATTTTTATAATTTAATCAATATCAAGTAGATCTTTCTTTCGCTTCGTGGAGTTCGTTGATCCTTTGGGGCATCGTGAGAATCATCTCGTCAATTTTAGATTGTGGGATTTTCGCCTACACTTGCTTCAAAACTTGGAGTAGATCGCTCTTCGAAGTTGGCTTGCCGGTCGAGTATGGCCCAGAGGTTTTCGGTGGAGTTCATGTTAGGAGATTGGCTCGGCCAGGGCAACTTCTGAATACCATTTTTTTCCAGCCACTTTTGGGTGTTTCTAGCAGTGTGACACGGTGCTCCATCTTCCTGGAACAACGCTGTGTT